CCCGCCGCACCCACGGGTGCACATATACATATGCGTGGACATTCAAGGTGTTGACGAGAAGAATCATGACGTTAGACCACACAGATGTTTGTTGAGCGAGTGACTCTGTGCTTTTCCCAATACTGGATATAACAATAGTCTTTGCAACCTACACTTGTTCCTATTAAAAATGGGAATTGTCCTATGACTCATAAATGGAATATAGAGGCTTTTAGCTGTTTTCCTAGGATAAATAGGAACGTACTGATTGAGACAAAGGTAGAAGGAAGGTTTCAGAGGAATATATTATACATAAGAAAAAGAAGTTAAACACAAGGTTTTTGGGTTTGCGTTCTTTTTTTTTTCCTCATTGGGTTTATTGGTACATTTTAGGTAATACAGTACAGTTACATTCATTATTGGGATCTTGTACCCATACATGACAGGACTTGGTTCTCATTTTTTTCCCTTGTCCCTACCCTCCCTTCACCCCCTCCTCCCCTCCCCATTTACAAACACTTTATTTCCATCTTTTCATTTTCTCCTGTTTCTTTTCCCTTATTCCCTTTCCCCTACCCTTCCCACTTTCCTTACACCTTTAGCCCTTTTCTTCCTATTTCACATTGTCAATTATCTCTTTAGGATCTTATGTACTATTAGAGTTTATTCACACCAAAGAAACGATTCGGTATTTACATATGTGTGACTTATTTATTTCACTTAGGAGTATATCTTCAATGTCTTTTTTTTTAGCAAAAAAAAAGTTTAAAAAATCATCTATAGTCATCGAAGAATGAAAGGAGCATAATTTGAGACTGATTGTCAGACATTGACACCACAAGCATACACTGAACCCTTGACACAAATTCCACCGGTTCCCTAGGGCTAGTTGTAGCTCAAGTTGGTTGTCAGTCAATACAGCTGAGATCTGGATGTTTCCATGGGTACATGCTATAGCTGATGAGAAGCAGGCGAATCTTATGAATCTTCCATTAACCTAATTAATGAACAACTTGGGTTGTTCATATGTCAGGCCACTCATAACCTGAGGGTCCCTATATTTGACTTTTTCTCCAGAGGGTCTGATTTAGTTTTGTGATTACAGCCTCATGATTGTGATTTTTTAAACATGGGGATTTTTAAAAAGTTTGGTAGGTGGCCAAAACATCTCAGAACCTGGCTACTGGAATGGTGGTGTCAGTGGTTAGGAGGAGAGAGAATCTGTAGATGACAAGCAGCAGCCAGTTAAGAGACAAATCAAAGTAAATAATTCGGTAATACAAAAATCATGGTGAAAAGATGGACTGGTGAACACTAAATTAAGTATAAAACTAACATAAAATAATTAAAAAATTATTGCAGTTAGACAAGGGGAAAATGGAGTTACATCTTAATGTATAGAGAAAAAACATTATTGACAGGTCAAGGCAGCAGAGAGAAAAATCTGTTAATGTGTTCTTTCAAGCACAGCATCAGTAATGACTAAAATAGATGACTCTAGGGTTTTATATTAGATTTATATTATATATAATATAATATAAATCTAATATAATTATATATTAGATTTATATTATATTATATCCTTATATTAGGATGTATCATCTTTACAGAAAGATGATTTTTCTTTAAAATGTAGAAAAATAGAAGTTAATGTGTTAAAATATTAATAGTAACTTAGTCTATATAGGGTATTTTTCATTTACTTGTACCTTACACTTTTCCTGTTTCTAAAAAATGGTAGTGAAAATTTTTGTAAAGAAATCATCTTAGAAATTCATTTGAAAACATTTACAAATAGGTATTTTGCTTAACCTCTGCTCTTCAGAATAAAGTTTAAAATGAAATTTTCCTTAGAGTCCTAAATTTTAATAGTGGAATATTTGATAGAAGTTTAACTGACAGAATGTTTAATAAGAATTGCAAAATGGTGTAGGGAAGGTGGGATGGGTAGGGAAAGGGTAATAAGGGAAAAGAAAAAAATGTGAGAAAATGAAAAGATGGAAATAAACTGTTTGTAAATGGGGAGGGAAGGAGGGGGTGAAGGGAGGGCAGGGACGAGGGGAAAAAATGAGAACCAAGACCTGTCATGTAAAGGTATAAGATCCCAACAATGAATGTAACTGTACTGTATCCCTAAAATGTACCAATAAACTCAATTAAAAAAAAAGAATTGCAAAATGGGAAGATGCATTTGGAAACAGGGTAACTGAAAAAGACAATGACCATTTCATGAACGCTTGCTATGTGCTTGGCATTGGTCTATGTCCTTTATTCATTTTCTCATTTATTCTTCACGATAAACCTATGAGATGCACAGTGGTATTATTTCTGCTTTTAAAAAGAGGAGGCTGAATTCTGTGACATTAAATGTCTCACCAAGATCATGTAAGTCAGAATCCTAATGCAGGTTATTTTATCTCAAGGATCTTTATATTCATTCTCTCATTTATCCTCATACTAATTTTGTGGTGGATTTTTTCCCAACAGATCAGAAACTAAGGATTAAAGGTGAAATAATTTTTTCAGATCACATGACATCTCAAAGTCACATCTTTATGATTCCACCACTCAAGAGCTTTCCAGTGTGCCAAACTTTAATATAGTGTGTGTATTGTGCAATCGTGTTTATGGTATCATAGAAACAAAGTCATTTTTATACTGATTTAATAATTTGATGTGATTTCCAGCCTTTTTTCTTCACTATCCCAAAGGGGAATGGGCAAAACATGTCATTCAGAGAAATAAGTATTGACTTCCAAGACTTCTGCTTATCAACCCAATTTTATAATCTAGAAAGCATGCGTGAAGCAATTTTTACTCAAGATCAGAACTGAACTTTGTGGCCAAATGGATTATGGCTCTAGCTGTGCCTGAGAAGTGATAGAAATTGGAAGAGGTCAGCAACTGTGAGGTTTTCACAAAACAACCAAATTATAATTTTCTACTTAATTCTTCAGCTTTGAGATAGCTAGGACAAACAGAACAAAATAAACCTAATAAATTCTAGTTTTTCTATCTTTTTAGGTACTTTGGTTCTTTCCTTTATTTTCTTCCTTTCTTTACACACACACACACACACACACACACACACACACTTTTTGATCTTGTTTTATCTTTTTTCTTTTTAAAATGGTACTGGAGATACAACCCAAGGGTATCCTACCACTTAGCTATATCTTCAGCCTTTTTACTTTTTTATTTTGAGATAGGGTGTCACTGAGTTGCTCAGATGGGACTTGAACTCAAAATCCTCCTGCGTCAGCCTCCTAAAATCCTAAGATTAAAGGAGTCTCTCATTTCACCAGAAATACATTTTAAATACATTTTAGAATGAAAGGTTTCAAGTTAGTGGAAAATGGACAAATCTGGAGTTGTTTTACGGTATTCCTATGAAGCAGTGGTCAAGAACTTGTGAATTAGAAAATAAGGAGTAAATTAGAAATTAAAATTGGAGTAAAATTAGAAAATAAAGAGTAACCTTGGAGAGGCAATTGCTTAAGGATGGGTTCTGTAAAAATAAAGATGTTTGATATGTCTTTAGAATTATGAACTACGCACAGTCAAACTGCTACAGATATCAACAAATCAATGACTATAGGTTTTATTGTTACAGAAGACACCAACATATTAATTATTTATGCTCTGATGTTTATCCTACTGTGTTATAAACCCATATTCTGAAGCAACAGGCCATAGAAAAACTCCTATCATGGTATGAATTTGTCTTTAGTTTCTTGTAAGTAATTATTTGCCTTCCAAGCATCACAGATTTAAAAATAATCAGAAATACCTCTGAAAATTTAAGACCACAAAATTTAGTTTTTGTTGAAATTCAGAAAAATAGCAAAATTTAGATTAACCAATAATATATCCAGTGTATAATTAATCCCAAACTGCAGATGATCCTAAAATAAGTTTACATTTGGTTTAATAATGTGCTGACTTTATTTGATAATACTAATAGAGTTTCTTTGTTAATTGTACTATTTAGGTTAATATAAAAATTGATCTGATTTCCTAGAATAGTAAATGTTGATTGAATGATTCAGGGAGGCATCTAGTCTGGTTTATAGCTTTGCAGATAGGTTATTCTCTGAGTAGCAAGTAACCTTGAATCTGTTCACTTTATGACTGCCAGACCTAGAAGATTGGGCCAACAAAAGCATTGTATAAAGTAGCCATTTGAATTGGGACATTTTATAGTTGATTAAAAATATGCATTTGAAAAACTACTTTATTCCATAGCACTCAAGAAGAACACTTGTACTGTTTATGCTGGGGAAGAATAAGTAGCTAGTCCATTAAAATATTTTCAATCTTTACAGAATATTTACATTATTTTTCATAGTCATTGGCATGTTGCTGGCATTTTCATGCACAATATTTATATCCAATAA